TCATTATTATTATTATTAATGATAGATAAAATCGCACTAAATCTAAACTGATTACATTAACTAAGTCAAATACACAGATTAACATGAAGACGTACCAAAACTTTTTTCATTTCAGGGTATCTATCACACTAAATTGTTTAGATCACTTCTAAGATAATATTTCAAATCATTAGTAGTTTTTTTAATAAAAAAAACAAATTATTTTTTTCAAGTGAAAATAATATTATCAGAAAGGGTTTGTGGAGAATTTAGAAATTTCACAGATTGAAATCATGAGTCAATTGAAGCTAGACCACCATGGAAAACCTAGAAGCACTGGGTATTAACACCATTGGATGCCGGCTCAGTGGTCTGGTTGGTCAATATCGCTTGACGCGATATTGATAGGTCCTGGGTTCGAATCTCGCGGGGCGCGGGATCGTGGATTCGCACTGCTGAGGAGTTCCATACTAGGACGAAACAGTCGTCCAGTGCTTCCAGGTTTTCCATGGTGGTCTAGCTTCAATCGACTCATGATTTCAATCTATGTAATAATATTAAACAGAGAGAAAAATCATTAAAAAGTCAATGTGAAACATTTGAAATTATTATTATTATTATTATTTTAAAGATAAAAAAATCATCATAATGCACATTCCTTTCACACAACTCATTATTTAAAAAAAAGAAAGGTGAAAGATACAAAATTATTTTTTAAAGTTACATAATTTGCAAAAAAATGTATGAATCTCAAATGATTTTTTCTAAAATAAAACTTCTTATAGACAGTGTTTACTCTTTTTCTCTCTAAAGTTTACTTTATTACATCTAAATTCTTTTTTTTTTTGAAATAAAGAATGTATCATGATAAATTTTGTTTTTGTCGTTTGTTTGTTTGTTTGTTTTTAAAAAGAACATTATTATTATTATTATTATTGATTTTTCAGATATTTTTGTTGATGTTTTGATTCCTAAATTGCTGGGGTTTTTTTTATAAAAAAAAACAAAACAAAATAAGATCATTTAGTTTATTAATTAGTTGTTGAAAATAAAATGTTTGAATGAAACGTTGTCGTTTTTTTTTTCATTTTTTTTGTTGGAGTCATAGTAACACAATGATTTATTGCAATTATGTATTAACGTATCTAGTTAATTTTATGATTGTTTTTTTATTTATTGATAGTAACAGTGAGTTTGATCACTTATACTATAGATTTAGTTAAAAATGTATGTTTGAATCAAATTATCATACCATATTAAAATAATGAAATGAAATAAACAAGACGAATAGTAAATAAATCAAAATCATGTAGTAACAATAATAATAAAAAAACGAAATTTGATTTGAAATGATAGAATCGAGAGTTTCGCATGATAGAAAAACTAGTCTAAAGGAAAATTTAAAAAATGGATGCATCTGTACAACTGCAACTAATTCTGAGTTATTTCATTCAATAACCAATGATAGTGAGGACAACAACCATGTATTTTGCATCTACTAATATGATATCAGAAACTGAAGCCACATTCTGTTTAAGCTGCCTCTAGACTTTTTCAAAACTAGTTTTACACTAGCTAATATATGCTGTCAAGGTAGACAATAGTCGAGGACATGTTGCACTTGTTTCAATCACATCGGTCGATGAAATCTCACAACCTCACAAACCGATTTTCTATCTTTACCCAGTATTCTATTTCTAGCCTCAACATTGCTCACTTAATATTCACAACACACGAGACACCTATGAGTAAGTAATAGAAACCTACGAAAACCTAATATTAAAGACCACGTTTCGTAGACAGAAATTAAAACAGAACGAACTGTAACGTAGTATACTTGACCTTTAGTTACCAGATAGATATCTTATGCCGCAAGTGAATAAGTTGGCTATGGTAAATTAAGCTCTCTGAATCCGTTTAGAGATCTTATCGAGCACCGATCAACCAGGGTTTTGACCTCTAAATAAGTGAATTGGTTGATGCATTCAACTACTTCACTGTGTTACCAGCTGAGGCATTGATATAAATCAGTCCTGAAGTAATATTTCCCATCTGAAGAAAGAAAATCTCATCCCACAGATGCTTGCATTTTTATTCAAGGAGATCAGAAGAATCTACGTTTTGTCAGTGTCTTTACTAAATAAGACTATTCTAAATAGATAATCGAACCTCCAGATAGGGGGACGACTCATAGAAATTTAAGTGGTTTATAGAAATACACCTACGGGGCAACTCAGTAAAAAGGGGACAGTAGATAACCCCGACGAACGTACTTAAGGTTGACAGTCATTGTAGCAATTAACTACAAGCTTTTAATGGACCAGGAGTATTTGAGCAGAGACCCTTCACAAAGTTTAAATATTTCTTTTCTACGCCTTCCAATTTCAAACACTGATACAGAACCTAATTTGATTAAAATTTTATTCTAAACGGAATTCGGTTAGAAAACCAAGAAGGATCTGACATCAGCACTCCGAAATTTATGTACAGATGTCATGGGACGTTTTACATATCCCAGCAAACAAAATGCTGCTTATTTGCAGTCCGGTAGTACACTTTTAAGTCATTTACGATATAGTCAATGGATTACTGCCTGATTCCTGACTTCAAGTTTACTTTTTCTTATTGAACAGTAGTCAAATATTAGTAAAGTCATCTGTATTCTAGTCGGATATACAGAACATTCTTATTAACAGGATGTAGTCATTGATCATACCATGTATTTAAACATAAGCATTAATTCAAATTAAATGACATATTCATCTGAATACACTTTTGTACAAATGGGCTCTAAAACAAATATGCGGTCCTCTCGGGGGCCAACTAAGTACTGAATCGCCCAATGACATTCTGAATGAAGTGTTGAAGAAATTGTGTTCAGATTCACGAGAGAGTGTTATTCAGTTATTGACGCGATCACCTTCCCATTGGACCACCAAGGGGTATCGAATTAATAACACTTACAGCAATTCGATTATAATGTGTATATAGTTCGGCCATTAATAAACAACTAAGGAATAGACTAACAAAGCAATCCGAAACTTATGCATATTTTTTTCATATATGTTTAGACTGTTCGACACATCCACGTGATATAAACTTTCTGATATTAGGCCCACTTATTAAATTTAAGATGGATTTCTTAAGGATTGCTATATTACGTGAAGGGGAGTTAATGATATAATTAGTTCAACGAAACAAACTTCACGATGAAAATAAGGAAAAAAACTGATGCGTAGAATTTGTTATCCCATTCGTTCCAATTATCCTTGATATTTTACTATTTTACTAATCCACTACTCATAAGTACTCAGAATTATCCAGTAAATATTTGGCTAAAGTAATTCACTGATGTAATTATTCGGAAACCACCATTCATTGCATTTTGAAAATCGATCCCTACTAAGTTCTTTTTGCTTCACGGACCCTATGAACATTACAAAAATGAAGGTATCGAACTGGTTGTTTGAAACTATCTTGAAAAGTATATCAAGCTTTGAGCATGTACATGTTTAAATAATTGAATGTTTTAGTTATTTCTGTAGAATCTAATAATTGAAGTTGAGATTGAAGTGAAAACTGCCATCGGGAGGACTTTACTTCATTGTTGAAAGTATTTAACCAGTCAGCTTTCCTCAGATTGGTTAATTAATTAGAAGTAATCAATGTAATCTTACTTATTCCTTACAGTAGACTGAATTATATCAACGTTAGGCAAAACGACTTAAAAGTAAGCTGGTTATCATGAAGCTAATAATGGTTCCAAATTTGATTTCGCGACGCCAGCTCTAAATGACAGAGTCCACTTTTGAAGGGACATGAACCAATCACTTGGTCATTATCAACACAGAGCCTAGTACAAGTGTGCATAGGCCCAAGTTGTATCATAAAAATACACAGATGAGATTAAGAAAACAAATAACAAAAGCTTCAGATATAGTTAAAAAGACTAAATATTTGGGGAATACAATGCGGAAGTAATGAATTCAAAGAATAGCAGTTATGAAATAATGTTGGGACTCAGGGAGAGAGATTCCTAAGCTTTTTGCGATTAATTATGATTCGACATTAATTGGTTAGTTCGCATAATTCTAGTGCCAAGTTTTACATATGAGTGTTCATATTTACACAAACTGCAAATTTCATACTACTAGTTCATCCTGTAAGAATGTAGTGAAGATTTATGAAACACAAACTGCCGTTTATAAAACTTAATGGGACGAAACAGTTCATATTTTGATACCTTATCGCATCAATGAAACCTTGTTACTATCCCCATTTCTTTATAGCTACGTAACACTAACTGTTATTTACATAAATAAACTCTATTCAAAAACTACTCGACAGTTAATCAGGACTTGGTAGAATTGGAACAACCAGAAATTAAGATAAAATAACACAAAGTAAATTACCAACTGAACAAAGTGTTCCAGTTACATCAATGAAATTATATACAGTTTGTGAATAGCAGAAATATATCGATGACAAGCAAAGGAGCAACTTAAGAACTTATTAACACAAAATTATTCGAAAAATAAAGTGAGGCACCTTCTAAAATATTACATTAGCGTTTTCAATCTAATAGATGGCTAAATAAATAGGGATGTAGATATCCAGCTTCACCAAACTGACAAAAATATGGTATAATGATGCACCACAAATTCTGGCAGAACCTCAAGGTGCATAATGAACAATTTTATCGCAGTAAGCTTTGGAAAGAATGAAGATCAAAAATCAACACAAGTGTTTTAACGTAAACGAAAGTTTATAATTACAAGGTACAGTGATGCTGCAGAAGCAACTTTTGGGACAGATTTTTAGTACAAATAAACCTAAGTCAGCAGTGGAAGTACAGTGTATTGGGTGCTTGAGCAGTCTATTCGCTAAAGTCAAGATCAAGTGAACAAGAGAAAGACAGTCGTCTATACATCACAAGTAATAATGGCATTGAATTCACTGAAAACTGGAAGGTACACCTAGCTGCTGAATCAACCATTCAATTTACTTTTGAGAAAAACTATCTAGTAACTGTCATTTAAATTAGCAGGGTTATCATGGATTTTGTCTGGTTTGTTATTCGACATTTCAGAAGGCGATTCTTCGTCAATTTTCTGAAAAGATTCACACTCATTGAAGTTTGAGGGAGTTGATTCTGGTGAAAAGCGACTGGCAGTAAAATGAGGTTTTTGTTTATTACGCATACTTTCAAGGTATTCACGTCTGGACTGTTCCATGACCATAGCAACCAAGTCATCTTCCTCCATTCCTGTGAAAACATAAGCAAAAATATTCTCAAGAAATATGAAGAGATATATAACATTTTCTTACAAAATACTTAAATTATGCTGTCTACGGGAATATAAATTCCCAAAATTGCGCGAAAATATTTAGAAACATAAGTACTAGGATTTCATTCTCATAATTACAATATATTAATAGAACGTGGCTAAGGTTTTATTGTTCCAAAGTACAAAACTTGATGCAATGAAGTGGTAAGAAATCCTCTACAAAGCAAAATGGCAGAACAATTGACTCTGAAGACTACTGATATATCTGAGGTAGTTGGACTGACAATTTGGTCACGAAACCAAGTAGAATTCAGAAGACAGAAACACTTGTTGGCTGAGTATGTAGAAATATATTAGGGAACTATATACATTCAGCTAAAATACTATAACTAGTAATTACTCGATAGTAATTCAATAAATAATCAAGGACGAAAGTCATTAACAAATCAACATAAAAATTGAGATAAATACCGGTCAGATTAAGTCACCATGCCAAATCACCCTTATAACATTTAGCAAGAAGCGATCAAATAGTCGAACCACCATGTCTCTAATACAATCTGCACATTATGACGATAGATATTACTTTATAAGTCGTTGGTAGCAAAATTACGAACGAATCTGTACAACAATGGTCTTACTTTAGAATAACAGGACTACATTCACTAGCCCATGAAATTCTGGACTAGTCTGCTGCATAGGAAAAGGCAAGTTTTCTGACGGGAGATTAATTGAGGATCTTAACTGATAGGTCGAAATTGATATGGGTGCATATATCCACTACTCAAAAATTGAAGCTTAATGTCACTTCATGTTACTCGCTTTTCAATTTTATTGGTTGCGTGTAGACTATAGTTCTTGTTTGGTTACCCAGCACTCTTGACATCACTACTGATCCTTTATTTGGTATCGTGACTTCCCTTTACGATGCCGGAACAATTTTCACCGATATATTTGGGATACTTTTATCCAACCTAGTCATAGTTCTTGCACTGGGATGAGATATTTTTTGAGGGAGCTAAAAACACTAACTGACTGCCTAGACCGAAGTAGTTAGGAATAAAATCGAGTCTGTAACACAACAGTTCACTAAGGTATATTGTTCCTATATATCTGTCCAGTTAACAGAACACCAAGTCTCGCATATTCTTAAATAATCAGGTCAGTTATTTGGCCAGAAAGTCACTTCTAACCTTGTCCTTCGAAGACTATGAAATTCCTCTGGTAAGGAAGTTACGCCAATGTATTCACAGCCCGTGGAAATATCAGTACGTTAGAATATCGTGAGGATCTAACCCAGTATAAATAAGTTCATCTCGAAGCCGCAACTTTATGTGGGATTTATACATTTAGTGTGGAGATAGGTTTAACTTGAAACGAGTCTGGCATAAACTGAGGGATAATATGGATTCAAATTCACACTTCAAGAAGAAGCGGACATTCCGTACACACCGCGCAGTGTAAAAGTGAGTTGGAAGCTAGACGCAATCAAACCAAGACACGACATCAGCCCATAAAGTCATTGTGGTCTGAAATATATTAATGGATGAATGCAGTTTATCTTATTGGGATCCGCGCAACAACCGCGACCATTGGTTGAAAACTTTAGACGGCACTTAGTGGCGCAGGTTCATCCACCATTTATCTCCCTCTCGACATCGAATGCTAGTATCCTTCTATATATACCTTTCCACTCTGCCTTTCCAAACCATATTTCGAACGTTTACCCTTTCGCGTTATCATCGCTACTATATTATTTAGGCCTTTTTGCAGCTCAAGAACAGATAGCATTGTTTCAATACGCCAACTAAATACTACCAATAAATTCACTACTGGAATTAGTGTCGGCTTGACTGTAAATGCAGTTGGTTAATGGATGAAGTTATTTAATTGTCAGCCTATCATATCCTGTAGATTTACTGTTCTGGTGGGAATGGAAATTGTTAGTGGGTACATATGCTGAAATACTAAGTTCAACCCGAGATTTTGTTACCTGCCAGTTTTTCACGATCGACTAGTTCGAAAAAATGTAGTAAAATTGTTTAGGAAGATTCATTAGCACTCCAATTTGAACTAGAACATATTTCTTTTACCCATTTGATAACCAGGACTGATGCAAAGTAACCGACAACAGTTCAAGAGCATCATGAGACCATGAAACATTGACTACAAGCTGAATTAGTGCGTATTACGAAACTTCATACTCGTTAATCATGTAAACGACCGGAAACTTACCTAGCATATTGGGTGGGATATGACGCGAACCCAAATCAGTTTGAGAATGAGATGAACTAGGTAGCGGTTCATTTGCTGGATTTCTGTACTGTTTTGAATCGGGAACTGCGGCTTTTGATGAAGATGCCACGTCGAAACTTCTTGCCAAACCTGTAGGGAATCCGGAGGTTAATGTTGCTTCTCGCTGATCACCATGTAGGTCCAGATGGTCGGGTGTGGAAAGAGAGTTAGCTGAATCCCTTACCTTCTGCAAGATCAGAAATTTATCAGCATCCAAGACCGGAAACAAAGAAAAGGGTCCATAAATCAATTGTTTTTTACAAGTGTCTATACACGATATGAATAAATAGTTTGTGCAAAAAAAACAATAAAATTATGGGAAGACGCATATTTGCGTTTCACTTTAGGTCACATACCCAATGTGGATTTCCTGCATGAACGCCCCTTATCTTAGAAACAAATCATAAATAACTAGTAGTTCCGAGTCCTTGGATTATCCCACCTAATAATCCAAAACATCCAATATGGCAGAGAACAACAATCCATAATTCGCCAGAACAAGCGGACGGCGCCAACGGGCACTTAAGTATCTAAAGCCGGTGAATGGTCAGGTTTATGTCAACTCATTACTCATCGCGTTTCATGTTCACAATCAACTGCCTTAGTTTTATAAAGTAATCCACTTAGTCTAACTAGAGTCCAGTACATTAATTTATGACCATTATAATTACCGATAGTGAACGTGAGTCATCAAGTCCTCAACTTCAGAATCAGTAGCTACTATGATACATTTGTTGTTGAAATGGATCCTCTAAAATTCGAAATTCTTAAGGTTTTTTCTATCTTAATACGATATTTACATAACAACTGATAATTTTGTCAGTACCTCAACTGTGGTGCACACCCTTCGTATTCAACTGGATGTCGGCAACACTAAGTTAGAGTGGAGTTTATTATTATTAACAATGTGTGATATAGCTGTTTTATCTGCATAGTTCCGGTTTCAGCGTACGTACCGTCGCTGTTCTGTATGCATTTAGAAATTGTATGGTAAATATGCTGGTTTACAGCAATACAACTAAACATTTGAGACAGATTCGCTATCCACTTATTTACGAAAAGGATGGTAGACAACTACTTAGAAACAACACACACTGAGAATACGTCTACCAAATGTCAATTATAGTATTAAAACATACCGGTACTGAGATCTGATTGAAATAATCGAAATAAGATTCCCTGACAGCTTGGTCTTCAATACACCGATTAATTGCATCCTGTTCTGTTTCTGCTAATTTATCACGTAGCATAGCCTCTTCAAGGTGGGTACTTTCAGACTCTCTGATTGCGCGAGCAATAAGGTCTGGTTCAGCCAACTGAAAAAGGATTAATGGTATTATGGAAACATACACTGGGTTGGTAGTTAGGCATCCCTAGACCGTGACCAAATGAAGGGTTGAAAGGGTCTACTATTGAATTATAGTGGACACGGCCATGGTAGCTTAGTCTGATAGGAAACTCCTTAGAATAGTCAGCATGGAAAACATTAATGGGTTCCACTGAACCATGGTATATTTCGACAGGTCTGTTGTATAGTTCTGCGATAGCCTGGATCTCCACATGATTTCCGTAACAAGAAGCATCTCTCTTGCGTGATATATAGTGATCGAAGTCCTCTGTCAAATACTGTGAAAAGTGCTCCTTGTTTTTCACCTTAAAAAAATTTCAAGGGAAAAGGAGTCGATAAGTTACCATGTAATCTATAACCTGCGAACGAACTAGATCGTGCTTCTCTTCATCACCGAATATTTGATGAGCTGTAAAATCTACATTAAAGAATAATAACCTACAAACACTACGGAACAAACAAGCACCATCAGATCCCACCTTAATTAACTTCCACCCTTTCTTTTCTGCTAGCAATCGTTCAAGACAATCATCTGCAGGCTTAATCAATTAGAGTACGGTGGATAATAGCCTCACCTGGATGGGTGAACCCCTTCGGCCTTGCTTCCCGAAATAGTATTCATCCTCACTGTTGTTGCCAGAGCCGTCATCTACCACATTGGGTTGAGGTATTACCTGGTTTGACTTATTTTCTCGTACATGTGGTCTGCATTCGCCAGCGTTAAGGGATTCATGCTGCTGAGATACTAAACGTTGGGGATGGGTGAAGGCCCATGAGAAGGGAAAATGGATGCATCAATAGGGAATGGGTAGGTCAAGGGTGAGTGGGGAGCTTCAATATCTTGACTAATGTTGGGCTCATGGTGGGAACAGCGGTGTCTATTACGATGAGAGAGAATATCTTTACGTTCTTCGCTATAAGGATACGGCTTATAGCCGAAACTATGTCGACTATTCGTAGAAGTCCCTGGCGGGTCTCTTTCAGACTTAAGTCTATCTTTTCGATTTTTTATGGTCATCTCAGACTGTTCGCAGGTTGTATATAGTGAGAGTTTTCCAATTATATCGTCAACAAGATTATCCAAACGAGAATCCGGAATATCGGAGTCGTCAGATGATTCTAGACTAGATCCGCTACCAGACGATAAACCGCCTTCAGACACCATTACATAGTAGCGCCATTTCTCACTCGTCTGTAAGATGGTCAGTCCTATTTCGAACTGCTGTAAACAAATTTCATAAAACCACAGAAGAACTTTCCCATACTCGTAGTCGGAGTAGAGAAACGGGAAAGTTATGGTGTTCAATGTACAATAACCCTGATGCTACCAATTGGACTCCATATTACAACATTATGGATGATTTAACAGCCATTCTTGCATCTTAAAAGCGATTGTATGAATCAAAGGATATTTTTGGCGGATATAAACTACCTCGTAAGATACCCGTGTCTTAACATCACTGCTAGGCCACATTTCCATATCCTGCCCCATCTAAAAGCTGCAGTCTTTTATATAAAAAAGAACCTTTTACGAAACAACAGTACAACGAAGTATTTCAACACACCGAGTTTCGGTAATACACTAGTTAGGCCTGCTTTTGCATCTCTGACCACGCTAAACAGGGAAAACTACTACTACAGAGAACGAAATTGAGCTCAGCAGATGGCTCAGAAAGGGTTCTTTCAGTGCCACATAGGTTTACTGCAAGCCGATATCGAGCTTAGCCCGATGAACATAGTCTCTTTAACGTAAAGCCGACCTGGAACAGCTAAAAGGTGGTGCAACATGTGATCTGTAAATGGCAAGCCCAAATGCCGAAAATATCTACACAATGACCAACACCGTTACTAGCCATCTCAGCAGTCGTGGGGGTAAGGTTTAACAGTAGTCAAAACGGTTCGAACACGAAAGGTTTTCAGATGAGACAAAACCGGACAACACTGGTACACGAGTCTCTTCTGTGAAAACATTCTGGAACTTAACAAGAAGATGATGGGAAGCTGCATCTGGCCGGAATATGATAGAACCACAACTCATGTCTTATAATCTGCCCCGTTACACAAGGAGTTGCTCTCTAAGGCAGTCTGAAGAGCGATCTGACACGGATGCTTGCCTGAGTGCCTTCAGACAGCTGTGTGTCAAACTAACACGGTCAACTTCAATGGCGTATTATAGTGAACGAGAACACTAGTAGAGTCAACCAAATGTATTTGAGTTCAAAATCACAGAATCACTTAGTAATATCTGAGAACCATATAGTAAATACTTCATTTGCAAAATGTCAATCAATTGTCTTAGACTTGATTGTTCCTTCGTTCTCAGACCAGTCATTCTCTGTTTTCGTTCTCTTCTCATCTATCTTCTTAGTCTTCCGTCTCCAGGCATTTCACTCTCAGCTGATGATACATACTACTTATGTTTGTCGACATTGGTAGCACACACAACAGTATGATTGCTATGATATTTACTGAAAGAATTGTTTAAAGCAACAGGTACTTCTTCACACATATCTCGAGAACAATTTTAATATTCTGAAGATGACACAGGTATTCAGTGTTTGACAACGCTTCTACCAGTAACACCTTCTAATATGATTTGTACCCACCGAGAGAAATCAAAAGACAGAGTTGAGGAGATCGGAAGAGTGTATTTGGCGATAACCAATATATCGGACTTCTCTGATCTAATCTGGCTAGCGAGTGCAGTAGCAGTTGAGCACGGCGTTATCACACGTGATCTGGTGCGGATGCCTGACCGAGCGCCTTCAGCTAGATGAGTCCACTAAAACGAATGGTCAGCATCCAATGTCGAAAACTTACAGGGCTATTCATTTTGGGGATTTATTTACCGCTACAGATCACTCCCCCCCTAGTGGGTTAGTGATGACCCTAAGACGTGGCCAGCCAGAAGTTTAAACCCAGCGAGTTTGTCGTTGGTAAACACTCTTATGATAGCTTGCTAGGATTAGCAGCGTCTGGTCGTCTTTCCTTACTATATGGGACCGAGGTACAACATAGTAAAAAAAGAAAAAGTACGATGAAAATTTCGACTCCTCATAAACGTCATCGTTCTTTTCCAGCCGGCCTGGAAAAGAAAAAAGAAAATGTAAGTGCATGTCGAAATACACTCGTATGTGCGTAAAAACAAAATGTCGGCGAAAAAAATTGTAATCTAAACTAATTTACACGTATTATCGTTAAAAAAATTTTTTGTGTTTGTTTTTTTTAAATAAAAAATAAAAAAGTATATAAGCATATTAAAACTGTTTTTTTTAAATATATATCGTAAAAAGAAAGATCGAGATAATATTAAATGTCTAGTAGTGCCATACGTGCAATAGTCGTTTAAATGCTCTGGAAATCTAACTCCTCTTCCATAACGCGTCGTTTTAAGTTTATTTTCAGATACTGTCGAAGTATCATCGTGCGTGTTGGTTGTCGGATGAGGTATTATAAGTGTCAGAGTCGTGTTGTTCGATTGTACCGAAGGAAAATTGACGTGGATAGGATTCTCCTCTAAATACGCTGCTTTGAGGCAATCGATGCTGGTGCTATCGTTGATTCCGTTCTTACCGATTATATGGTACTTAGGTTCGCGTTGAAGAACTTTGAAAGGTCCTTCGTATGCTGATTCGAATGGTCTTCGATGCGAGTCTCGACGTACCAAGACGTGTGTACTATATCGTAAGTCAGGTTGAACGAAAATCAGTTGATTGAAGTCGAGTGGAAGCAGGTTTAACTGAACGCATTGCGTTTGTGAGCCCGTTCGTGCAAGAGGTTAGATCCATGTTCATTGAAGAGGATGAAGGATCCACGAATTCTCCTGAAAGTCGAAGTGTCGTTCCATAAACGAGTTGAGCCGCAGTGTGTCCAATGTCAGCTTTCACTGCATCGCGGATACCTAGTAAGACGAGTGGAAGAGCGTCGGCCCGCTGTGAAACGTTTGCGGCTGATAGTGAAGCTTATAGTTGTCAGTGAAAGCGTTCTACCAATCCGTCTGCTTGTGGGTGATAGGAAGCGAGTGATTCCTAAAAGTGTGGTCAGACGACGGAAAAGTTCGGATTCGAACTGACGTCCGCGATCCGTAGTCATGGCTGAAGTGTAGTCAAAGTTCGCTACCCATCGTTTGACGAAGGCGCGGGCCACTATTTCAGCAGTGATGTCCTTGATAGGTACTGCTTCTGGCCATCGAGTGAAATGGTCAACGCAGGTTAAGAGATAAGAGTATCCATTTGAATCTGGTAAAGGTCCTACCAAATCCAGATGAACATGGTCGAAACGAGCATCGGGAGTTTTAAATGAGCCTAAGGGACATTTATTGTGTCTGATAATTTTAGATTTTTGGCAGCTTACACAGGAGCGTGCCCACTCCCTCACGTCTTTATTCATGCCAGGCCAGCAAAATCGTTCTGCTATAAGCTTGATGGTTGCACGAACACCTGGATGAGAAAGTTTGTGCAATGTGTTGAAGACATTGCGTCGATAATGTTTCGGCACGATTGGGCGATCCCTACCTGTAGATGTGTCACAAAGTAAGGTTTCCTTACCTGTTCCCATCTGTTTGATACGTAACTTGAGGGTTGTGGACGATAACTCGTGCTGAAGATCACTGTCTTCTTTTTGAAGCTGGGCGAGTTTAAGAAAGTCGATTCCTTGGAAACTGTTCAAGGAAGTTATGCGAGATAAGGCGTCTGCAACTACATTGTTTGCTCCAGAAATATGTTGAATATCTGAAGTAAACTGCGAAATGTAGTCCAGTTGTCGAGACTCACGGGGAGAGTACTTGTCAGAAGGAGAGCTTAACGAGAAAGTGAGCGGTTTATGGTCGGTGAAAAGGGTGAATTCACGGCCTTCGATATAGTGTTGGAAATGTCGTACAGAATAATACATAGCTAGGAGTTCCCTACCGAATGTGCTGTATCTCGATTCGGTGTCTAGCAACCGCCTAGAGAAGAATGCCAATGGTTGCCATGAGTTGTTAACCCATTGTTGTAAGACTCCTCCGATTGCCGAGTCGGATGCGTCTACTGCGATGCTAATGGGTGCTCGGGTGTCCTGATGTGCGAGCATTGTTGCTTTAGCGACCAGTTCCCTAAATGCGGAGAATGCTTTTCGAGCTAATGAAGAACATCCAATCCCTCACATCAAACTCATCTCATACGCGCGAGGGTTACGACAATTTTATCCGAGATACCCTCACCCATTTTAACTTAGTAGGCCACCTGCTTAATATATGTCTTATCAACGCTCGGTCGATCTGCAACAAAAAGACGGATTTAGCCCTGTTTGTATCCATATATCAACCATCAGTTGTTATGATATCTGAAGCATGGACTAACAGTAATATTTCCGACCGAAGTATATCTCTTGATAACTATTCCCTATATAGAAGCGATAGATTGAATGGACGAGGCGGAGGATGCCTTATTTACGCTCACTCTAGCCTAAACTCACTGCTATGTGATATGCCTGAACTAAACAAACTGAAGGATTCGGTGTGGATTGTATTAAAGCCGTCGAATTCCGTTACCTTACTGCTCGGCTGTGTTTATCGTCAACCTAACGCATCAATAGATGAAATAGCAGTATTATCGGAGGTATTCACACTAGCATCATCCCTCTCATTCACAGGCAAGCTCATTTGTGGTGACTTCAATATGCCCGAAATTTCTTGGCTGCCAGTCAAAGCGCCGAGACGTTATGAATCATTTATTGAATGTCTAGAGCTCGGACAATGGACTCAGTATGTCGATAGCCCTACCAGACATCAAAACATCTTAGACTTAGTCTTTACCAGTGGCCTCATCCCCAATACTTTGTATATTGGAAAAAAGTTCCCAGGTAGTGATCACAACATTGTCATATGCAGCCTTAATGTAAAAACCACAACCGATAGGAGTAAAACCGTAACACTTCGTAGAAACTATCGCAAGGTTGATTGGAATAACTTCCACAATTACTTAAGAAGCACTGATTGGAGAACTTTCTTTACCTCAAACAATACCGACACATTAATCAATATATTCTATCAAAACATCAAAAGTATCATCAACAACATCGCACCTTTAGAATACTGTAAACCTACGTTTTCCAAAGATCTCTATATACCGGTCAGTACAAGAAGACGTCTTCAAAGACATTGTACTCGATTCCACAACTTAAATG